TTCATACCTTCTAGGATGTATTTCATGTTTTGTCACTTTAAAATTAGAAACGTCATTGTATTTCATTTAGATTTCACAAAATGAAATAGTCCAACACACAGTGAACACTACATTTGTGTAAAGAGGAATTATTTAAATGTGTTACAAATTCTGAAAAATTTGGCATTTTTAAATGCTCACCATCATCCGCTCTGTACCCTTAAATAAAATCTAGTGTACCCAATTTAGAATTCATCTTGTTAGTTAGATGGAGCCTAGGCAGAAGTTCAACTGAATAAACTGATTATTCGCCTTCATTCGCCTATGACACAGCCAATCAGCTTTGAACCACGCCTCCACGAAAGCCAATTAGCATCCAAAGTTCATTTTAAAAGGCCCCCGAACCGCAACTTGTCTGCTACCTAGTGCGCAGGTATCAGAGTATCATTACTCCCGCACTCTTACTGCATTCCCTTTTGAGCCTGGTTCTACCAGAGGTTTCTTCCCAATGGGGAGTTTTTCCTCTCCACTCAGGCTTCATGCTGCTCATCATGGACAGGTTCTCTTAACCTGTGTTATCCAAACTGGACTTCCATCTTCCAGGTACCTCAGTGAAGCTCTAGTATCAGCTCACGTAATCCATTGGATCTCCCCATAAAGCTCAGCATACCGTCTCGTTAACCAGCAGTCTACAGATTGACCAACTTCATCTATCTCCACTCCTCCACCAGTTTCAGGCCTGGGTGGGAAACAGCCCTATTCTTTGCTCCTGTTCATCCATATCTATCAAAATTCAGCGCTATGTTTCCTGCCGAGGTCTGAGCACCAAAGACCAAGTAATTGTATCAATGAATTTCTTCTAATTGTCTTTTCTCTCCATGTGAGTTTTTCAGATTGAAAAAAGTACTGCTGCATAATTTATAATCCAATCTCGACATACTTAAGCCTAACATGTTGTCAGTTGACCTGTGATGGCCTCAGAATTTTCTAGAATCATGAAGATTATGAAGGTATAAACCAAACAGGTACAGATGAAGTTGTAAAAAATTTTAAGCAAGGTTTTTAAGCATAATCCTTGGCTTTTTGCAGCTCACTGTTAAATCATTTGTCAACAAATGTAGTGTGTGGAGCAACAGCTAACCAAAACAGACACGGCTGTCTACCCAAACTATGCAAGTAAAGCATCATTCAGAAAGGAGTTTTTCATGGTCAGTCTGAAGTATCTGCAAAGTTCCACATCTCAGGTCAGAAAACAGGATAACCAGTAGGCAGCATTCTATCAATCTGCTCTTGATAGAAGAGTGGCAAGAACAACAACTTTTTAGAAGTCCTTTTTACACCAAAACAGGATTGCTAATTTAAGTTTGCCTGACTAATTTTAAAAGAATGGTATTGGGAGAATTTCGCCCTCAATGCTAATTTTGTGCAATGCTGGCCAAAGTCAGTTGATCTCAATAGATTTATATCGTCATTTATATCATCATGCTTTTTTTTTATTGTTTTTGTTTAAGGACTTCTTAAATATAGGGCAATTGTATAGGAAAATACTGTTACAGGCTATATGTTCTGCAACAAGGCTCAGTAAAATAATATCACTAAACAGGAGAGGTCAAAGCAAATTCATATGTTAGAAGGGCAAAGTCTTTCTAACACATTGGACTTAAATCCACGGCTAATTGAATATCTTTGGTTGAACATGAAAATGGATGTTCAATGCTATTGTGTAAGAAAAACGAAAAAGTTGGCTTCTACTTTTACATAATGTACTGCTTTATGTTTCTCTCTTAAAATCATAGAGAAATACTTTTAGCTTTGGAGATTTATGACAAAAATATGATTAAGTTGAAGATCTGTTCTTAATTTCAATGCAATAAAGTCAAAGGTGCATCTGTTGTTCAGTGTAGGTCAATAACATACTAGGTTTTTCAGTTTTAGCTACCCTCACTTTGGACAGGGGGTGGACTAATAGTACCAAAAGCATACAAATTTGAAAAAAAAAAATGTATGCTAGAAAGTCCATGCCTGGGACAGCTCATAAAAAAAAGCACTTGACACAAATGAATCCACATCTGACACCAAATCCCCCTGAAAAATGAGGTTGTTTGTTGCATTAATATACGAGAGATTGTTACTGCTCCCCAGAATTACTAACAGGTAGCTAAGCTAACCTGCCTTGTTTATGTTGTCATCCTTCAACTGGGAGTAGTGTCCAAAAGAGGAATGAAAGAGAGCAACTCAGGGTGAGAAACACTTGATAATTTATATAGAACTGCTGGAGATCCGAGCACCAGAAATCATTTATCTAGCAGCCCTGCAAGTTGTGCCTCAACTTAACACACTTCTACCTGTTGTCACTACTTTCTATGAGAGAAGAAACAGCACCCACTGTGGCAACAAAAGAAATTAAGGAATATTTCTGATACATAGACCGTAGCTGTGCTTATGCTGCAGACATCAAAAGTCTCCCGGAAGTTACGGGAGTCCCCCTGATATAGGTAGTTCTTCACGGATGCCCGTGAGTCGGATAAATTATCCCGCATTTTAGACTATATGAGGGGATGTTTTTTAATGTGAGTGAGAGCGTGCAGGCAGTACAATCATTTGTGCACCATGTGCAGATAAGAACTACTTCGATTGCGCAAACAACAAGAGAGCGCGGGGTGTGTGGAGGAGGTTGCTGGTGAAACCTGTGCAGTGTATCTGTCCAAAGCGATGCTCTGTTCAACCAGCATTCCAGGCGACTGGTTGTCATAGAGCTGATTGGATCAGTCCGATAAGTTTCTCTGGGTTACTCTCTGACAGTCACCTACTTACCACTCAAAGCTGTGCATCCTGTGAAATGGCAGAAGTTGAATCCTCAAGTAAAAAATTAAAATATCAGATTAATTTTACACCAGAATATACTAAAGTATATCCAATAGGGAAGGTGAGGAACAGAGGTGGATCTAGACCAAATGTACCTGGTGGCCAGGAGGGGGACAGCATGTTTTCCTGAGGGCACAGAAAATCATGAAATAAAAAACAGGGCAAGGCATTCAAATATATGAAGAGAGCTGCATGAAGTGAAATTTCTTTTTAATTAGGCTCAATAAAAATTCTAGTTCTTATAAGGTCAATATACATTTATACTTTAGGAATTTTACATTTTTTGACTTCATTTAAGTTAAAACTACTGTTTTATATAAAATTTGAATTAGAACTCAAGAAAAACTGTTAAACTTATCTGTAAAAATTAGAGCATTTTTTTTATTTGTTGTGAAAAAAAAAACATTTAGCAGATGAAAACTGGGATCCAATCTCAATACCACTGAAGCAATCACCTTTTTGTTTTTTGAATAATTAGTAAAACAGAATTTGTAAAGAAAAGAATGAAGCAGATCCAAAGGACCTATCAGTAACCATGTCTGTTCCAGCGCACATCATCATTACTGTAGAATTTCTTGTAAGTATTATGTCTTCAGTACAGGGGACATAACAGTGGTCAGGACATGATCAACAGGGGCACTGGCCCCTGTTGGCCCCTTTTTAGAACCAGCCATGGTGAGGAATGATTACACCGTGGTGAGGTGCACTGTATGCTGAAGTCCCATGAAAAACAACCAGGTTCAAGACTACAAGATTGAAAGTATTGAAAATTGAAAATAAAAGACCAATACTGTTCTGTTTTGTGTTTAAGAAATTACAGGTAGTTATTAAACAGTGTGTATGTATGGGGCACGGAGCGGGTAAGCATCTCCCTGAAATTAGGTTTTGGAACTTGGGATGTCTGATGCTGTGACCTACGGCCTGAAGATTGTGGAAATAAATAATTAGCAGCTAGATTTTCAATGCAATGATGATTCTTTTTTCTCTTTTATTGGTGATCCTAGCTGAGACATGCTTAGTTTAGGACTTCTTTCAGTTTTTCTCAGCATATAAGAACAAAGAAAAATACTGCCTTGATACAGGCTAAAAATTCCCCTTAGTTTTGCACAGTTTTTTTTTTTTCAGCTCTCAAGTTAGATCTATTTTAAGTACCTAAATGGTTTGGTTCAGAGTACTTTGCAGGTATGATTTTCATCACCTCTTCAGCCACTGCTGTTATATCTGTTATGTGTTTTGAAATGCAAGCATCATTTAAAGAAATTTTAATTTAATAACAATCAAATAAAAGCAATTAAGAATACGGGGTGTTTGAGACCTAAAAGCCATGCCTTTGTCTTTTTTTTTTTTTAAGTATACATTTTGTTTTATGTCTCTTTTTAACAATATGAATAGTTAGGGACTGACAACCATGTTAATTATTTTGTTTAATGTGTAGCATAATGTGAAAGCTACCGTATTTCAGATGATTCATAAGAATATAGTTTTTTCTATTTGAAAAAATCGATAAAAATAATAAGGAGAATGTTGCATACCCCTAATTCCAAAGTCTTTTGATATAGTGTAGTCGTGTGTTTACAATCCCAAATGTCTTGTGAAATAGAGGCAGCTTAGCCTATTATGCTTTGCTAAAGATTCTTTTTTTCTTATTCCTCTAGGGCTAATTCCCACTACTTTAGAAACATTACATAATCTTCAGAATTCCTTCACTACTGTTTTTCCATATACCTGGCAGACATGCGAATAATTTTATAACTGATATACTAAAAAGAGAACTCCCCAACAGAGATAACAGCAACTATAAAATGAGTACCATTAACAGACACACACATATACATATATATATATATGTGTGTGTGTGTGTGTGTGTGTGTGTGTGTGTGTGTGTGTGTGTGCAATAAAAACTGCATCAGCATTACTCTACATTTCATTTTTACAATTTTTCTTGCTGTTTTCACCATTTATGTGTAGGGATAAGCTTATCAGGCATATTTATGCTTGTATATCGAAAAGGCACATTTTAAATATTGTATGCAGAATACAAAACTGTAAGAATGATACTTATGTTCAAAGGAAAACTGCAGTTTTTATGGCGGAAATGCTTTTTTCCATAAGTTTGATTTGTTTGTTTCTCTAATTTGGTTTTATGCTTGCTACAGACACCAGAGGAGTTGGAGGATGACTCGGACTTTGAGCAGGAGGACTATGACACTCGCAGCAGGACTAGTGTCCAGACTGAAGATGACCAGCTTATTGCCGGTCAGAGTGCTCGGGTAAGTGGGTGATCACTTCCTTCTGTTCTCCTTTTCAAAAGTCCCCCAATTAACAAACTTTTAACAAACAAGAACAGGAAAACGTCTATGTATTTTGCTTCGATAAAGTAATAGCAACCTTGAATAATTATTTTATTTTTGAAAAGCTATTATTTACAGCTCAGGTGTTTTTCTTAAGAAATGTTGGTCATTTTCTAGCAGTCGATGAATGAGGCCATCCACCTTTCATCACTTTTGGAGCATTTAACTGATTCTAACAGCACCATTATTCCATATCAGCTATGTTCAGGGTTTGAAGGTATAAAATTGCAAACCACAAACAAAGAATTAATTACCAACTTCCCCTCAGATGCCCCTCATAATGGGACACAGACCTGTGCCAAAGCCTCAGTCGTGATCGCCAGGGCTGGGCTTTGTTGCACATTAGCAATTTTTCACTTGGGCCCAGCTTAAAGGACATTAAGAGGGTATCAGTCCCTGCTTCCCTCCAGCAACACACAGTCTCTAGCGGTGTGCTGCATTTTGAATGGATTGTGGAAGACAGAGGTGTGACTTGGCTCAATATCACTCCCTGTGGCCCCGGCAAGGTCTCTGTACAGCCTGCAAACATAGGGGGTAATTCACTAAAAGCTGAGAAATAAATCCAATCAAATCAGAATCCTGTTTTAGCTAAATGCCTCTAATGTGGAGCTGCTACCTCCTTAATGATACCTTTTTTTTTCCTGTGTTTGAAAAATCTCTGTACATGAGTGGAAGGCAACCTATTCTTACTCAAGGAGCCATTAGGAGCAATAATGTCATGATGTTTAAACTTGTTCATTGGAGAATTGTCAGCAAACTACCTCAGTAATTTAACACCTTTACCACCAAATCCATTGGTCATCCTTAAAAAAAGCTCCTCTGTGTTTTTGCTTTACTAAAACATTTTTATTGCTACAGTTTTCGTGTTTTATTGAAATAAAATGGGTAAGAATGTTTTATTTGTTTTACTTCTAACCACTGCAACAATAGTTTAATAAGACATGCACACTCTTAGGATTTCAGTTATGCACATTTTAGGACTTTCACTGTGCTTTCAGTGTGCCTGACCCAATTTAATCTACAAACTGGGTTTCATGCCCCCGTTTAAGTATTTTGTCTGCAAAGGCATGTTGACTCTGTACTTAAGATTTTTACACTTTTTAGTAGTTCCTTTTAACATTAAAGAGTCATCCAGGGATGTGCCAACTAGAATATCCACTTCTGTAAGAACGGTTAACTGTTTTAAAAGTTAACTTTTATATAAAAATATTTTTTTTATTCTACAGAACAGAAAAACTTTTTTTTTTTATCTATCAATTGTCACACTTGCTAAAGTTCAGTCAGCAAAACTTGTTTGAGAGAAAGCACCGGGTGGTATGTTAAGCCATTAGCTCTTATAGAAAAGGTAAGGATATACAGTACCAATCTTTTAGAGGTTCTTTTACTATTTCGTTATCTTTTATTATGCACCCCTAAATCGTGAGTCTACATGCTGCAGGCGTTATTTTAGCAATTTACTGCAGATCTATTGAAATTTTGCTTTTGTGTCTAAAACCACATGTCTTGCACCCTGCATCTGATTTTTTGCTATTATCCTAGCCGGGGATACGACCTCATCAAGGGTGAACTGACTTCCTCTCTGACCTGGGCAGCTGCTCTCTGCTGACTCACTCCTCCTTTTTCACTAAGGAACTAGCAATATATGAAATACTTTTCTTATAATGGATAATGAGAATAAATCACCAATTAAAGGAAAAGTCCGTCAGCAAGGAATAATAAATGGATCATTATCTATACCTAAAACTAATTTGTTTGCGTTGATTTAATGAATTTATACTTAATCATTAAAAAAATTAAAATAATAATTTTCTTTTCGATCACCGAGTCAGGGACAGGCCAATTTTGCCCAAATATGGAAACACCTCACTGCTGACACTTCCGGCAATGACGTCACGTTGTGGTAAGCCGAGCACAATTCTCCCCGCTTTACAAGCAGAATCAATGGGAGCCACTAGACACCCCTCCAACAACAATTATTTAAGTTTTCGAGAGGACTTCACCATTGAATTTGCAAGAGCTATAGTTAAACTGAAAATGCGTACGTGCATGGCAGTTAGACGTTGTAATACATTGGGTAAAAGTGAAAAAAAAAACGTAGTTATTTCACCTTCCCGATTCATGATCCACCACGGGTTTGTCATTGGATTGCCACCTTGAAGAAGAAAGATATCCCATCGAAATTGTGGCCAGAGAAAAAATATGTAGCCAACATTCTGCGCGTTGTGACAAACACCAGATACAGCACTGGGACTTGATCAACAGCCGATTCCGCACTGTGATGTCACAAACTGGTAGGTGGCAGTAGTGTTCTTTGACAAACATGGATGTCTCTGGTAAAGCACACTCAAATGAAAATTACTCTTAATTAAAAACACACTAATTTATTGAACGGTACGTAATAAATTCTGATTTAAAGTACTTTCAGAAGTTTGAATTCTGAATATGACCGGACTTTTCCTTAAAATTTTATAAATGTTTACAAAAATGCATTATAATTGGATAAAAACAAGTCTGCATCATCTCTCCAGTCCTGTCTAATAATTTGACATTATTTTTTGTTAGTCAGTCACATGACCTGAAAGCTATTAAAAAACTCCCATTAATTTTGAGGAAAGAAATTTAAATAAATATAGAAAATGTATTGAAACTGGACAAAAAAGAGCGTGCTTAATCTTAAAATGATGATTTGGCATTCATTTTGTGTCTAAGGGTCACAAGACATAAAATTTATGAATGTTTTCCTATCAAGAGTGTTTTATGCAGATATTTATTGACAGTCCCCTCAAGAACTAATGTGTGTGGGAGGAGGGAACAGCCAATCAGAAACTCCGAGCCACTGTCTCAGAGAAACCAGGACAGCTAAGGGCTGATGGCCTCCTCCTCAGAACCTTTCATCCCACATTTCTTCTGTCTCCGGGTAAGAGGATGGAGAGAGATCATCTGCTGCATATAACTGCTACATCTTTCTTGTCCATCCAGAAGAAGTGATCTCCAACAAATCACAGTATATAAACAGAGTCTCAAAGACATAGTTTTCTAATTAGGGGACGTCTGTAGTGAATTGGCTAGAATAGATTAGAAAATACCTTTGTTGTCCCACAATGGGGATGTTGCGATGTTACAGTAGCAAAAGATTATAGCAAATGTGGTAAAACAAATAGGAAACTTAAAAGTATATAGAGATAACAGAATAAGTGACAGAGTTTGAAAAAAAAAAAAAAAACAAATAAAATACTGTACTGTGCAGTGCATTTACAATATAAATACTGTGCATCTGAATAAAAAATAACCAATGTACAACTGTGGACATTTTTACAGTAATGGATATGTGAAAATAGCAACACCAGAGACTTTCAAAAATAATAGCAGCATGTTATTTAAGTGAATAAAGAAGGAAACTGCAGAAATCAGCATCAATATAAAAACCTATTGAGGTTGTTGGGAACAGTGATATTATAAAGCCTTACAGCTGCTGGGAGGAAGGATCTGTGATAAAGCTCCCTGGTGCATTTAGCTTTGCTGGATTCTATTTTGGAGTTTAATATTATGCTGTTTGACCTTTGGTTTTTAATGTTTTTTTATATCTGTAACTTTAATTTTTTTATTTTTTTGGTATTTTTTTTTTTCAATGTCTCATTGAGATTTGTAATCTCAATGAGACATACCAGGTTTAATAAACATTACATACATTTGTATATTATAAAATCAGCTTATTAAATATCCCCCAATTACACTGACTTTGTGGTTGAAAGATGACAAACTATGGAGGAGTCCTCCTCTTGTTAACTTGGATATATAATTAACTTAAATGGATATATAATTTTTAAGATGATATTGCGTAATAAACAGGAAGAATAGACCCATGTTTTGGCTTCCTCCAAAAAGACTGTGGGGATTCTGGGTGAGAAGTACTTTAGTTTGTTGTATTTATACTCCCACTAGGGCTCCTGCAGTGTTACATTGCAGGGCCATCTGAGCTAAGATGCACCAACACTTGTATACAAAGGAGCTTTACAGCACCAAACTGTTAACTAGTTTTTCTGGCACTCAACTAAGCTGTGAGTGGGCAGCTCTATTCGTGAACAGTTTGAAAAGGCAAAGTGTCCCCTTTCTCATGACTTTTAACAGTAATACAGAACAGATAAGTATTAACACATGTTGCAGATATGTTAGTATAAGATAAATAGATATTTTGTGCCTAGATGGTCAACTTTTTTTTAAATAGTCCTTTAGTGAACGGAGTATCATGCACACTGACAGTATTTCTCAGCACTGTTTTTCTACCAGCCAACAGTGTCATGGCTTCTGAGATTAAAATTTAGGACATGCACAAGGCAAACACATCCATAAAAGGTATGTTTTTTTTTTTTTCTACACCAGTGTTGAGTTGTACAATCTGCTCCAGTGTGTGGTGTTAGAATAAGCTTGCCGTCCTCTTACGGTCATGCCAAGTCCACACTGGTGCACTGTCTTCTTTCTCAACAGACAAGGGGGGTAATCCATTTTCTCCATAGGAGCTGACATGAGCACATTGAGGTTTACAGTTGTGATCCCGCCAAACCTATCCAGACTGCAGATAAAAGACAAAGGATGTCTGTGTGATGTCTCAGTTCTACTCTCAGCTTCACTATTTTTTCTCTCGTCTTAACTAACATCTAAATCAGGCTAAAGGCTTTTTTAGAAGCTTAAATCTTCTTAAAAATGTCTCCACTTTGTAGTTTGCTTTTGTGCATGAGGTTAAATAAAATCCCCACTTGTGAGACATGCCATGGATGATTTATAGGAAGTCAACACACTGTAAACATCTCTAAACACTGTGATTGGATAACCTTGCTGATAGGTCATCCATAAAATTGAACCTGAGTGTCTGGGCAGTTTATTTCAAATGAAACAAATTAAAGTCATTTCAAAATGCAGCA